CCAGCACCAACACAGCATGCCATGGCCCTGCTGGCTGCCAGAGGTCAGGGGAGCCCAGTCCCACCTGAAAGCAAGCTCTGGTAGAGCAGTGCCAGGGATTTACTCATCTCCACCATGCTTGGGAGGCAATAGACCCAGCAAGGGCTGATGCAGCCCACAGGCTTCTCACCCCAGCAGGGCTTGGGTCCTGCAGCAGCTTCCCTGCACCCCAAAATGCCAATCTCTCTCCCAATCAGCTCCAGCACTCGCCACCAGTCTCACGTCTCCCTCCAGTTCCCTGCAGCTCTCTGAATTCCTGCTCCCCAGAGCTGGGGTGGGACCGATGCCCAGCAACCAGAATTTCAACGGCAGCACATGCACGGGCTGTGTGAGAGATGGGAGCCTGAAGGGGTAGGGCACAGGGGTTTTCATCCCTGTGGAGGCAGGTTTGCCCATCATCAGGTTGTCTGAAGGCCTCCCCAGTGGCTGCGGGGAGATCTGGGGCTATAGAGGGGAGCTGGGAGGTGACGGAGCCACTGGACATGGACAGGGCATCAAGGGTCACTCCTGTGGGCTGAGCCAGGGTCTGGGAGCTGAGCTGGGAGCTGGCTACACATCCAGCTCCAGCAGAAGTTGGCAGGTAGGATGGAGATGGCACACTGGTGGTGCCCAGCTTTGGAGTGATGCTCCAGAGCAGGGTTTGTGGAACTGGGGGGAGGCACAGAGCCTGGGCTGCCATGGGTGGGCTCTGGAGGTCCTGCTGGAGTGGGTCCCACTGATGCTGTCCTGGACTTGCTGTGCCTGGATTCTTCTGTCACAGCCACCTGCCTGGACTCTGAGACGGCACCAGGGGCTGTGGAGCTCATCCCAGTCGTGGTGGGACCTGCAGCACTGGGAGCCCTGGTCCAAGCTGGGGAAGGGTGGGCTTCAGTGGACATCAGCTGTGCAGGCAGGGAAGGCAGGTCACTCTGCTTCCCCGAGGTGACAGCAGGACCTCCAAACTCCAGCGTCAGAAGGAAGGGAGCCAGCACTTGCAGGTTTTTGACACCAGGAGCCAGTGCAGGGCTGGGAAGTGATGCCAAGACAGCATCCAGGAGCCCAGACCCATTTCCTGGGACCTTGGCCAAGGCAGTGTCCAGCACCAAGCAGCCTTGCCATGCAGCAAGGTGCCAGCAGTGCCTCAGAACCCCTCATGTGTCACAGTAGAGGGCACCCACACAGTGCCAGGGTGCAGCTTGGCTCAGCTGGACGTCCCTTCTGTTGGCAGAGCCGAGGGCACCACCTGCTACCCTGTGCTGCAGCTCCAGAAAGGATCATCCATCAGTGCCCATGTTGTGCCATCAGATGAGACCTGAGCCACCCCAGCAGCCCCTTGGGGTGGGACCAGCTGGGTGGGCACCACCTCCATCACCCCAGCCCCTGCAGAGGGGCCAGAGGCAGCCACAGGGAGGGAAGAAAGCTGCAGCCATACCTGGGAGGTGGCAGGGACCCCAATAGCTGGCTTACTCTGATCTCTAGGAGTGCCCTCAGACACCCTCTGTGGGCTCTTGGGCTCTGCTGTGCCCACTGGCCATGAGCTGAGGTCACTGCTGACATCTGTGTGGTATCCCGTGAGCCTGGTCCTGCTCTGTGGAGGCTTCCCAGAGCAAGGTGATGCCAGGAGTCAGGGCTGGGATCATCCTCAGCCTGGAAGAGCCAGGTCAAAGGAGCAGGCACCCCTGTGCCAAGCCACTGTGTGGGAGACAGTCACAGCTGCTGCAGTGCCCAACCTGAGCCCTTCCCTGTCCCTAGATCCAGGCTCCCACTGTGGTGAGGTCCAAGATGTCAATGGGGCCACAGCTGGTGTCCCCAGGCTCCACCCCTCAACATCTGTCCCATGGATCATGTCTCCTTGGACCCCCAGAAAGAAGCCCAAGGTGAGGAGGTCACCACGTGCTGTCACCAGATTGTCACCTGTCCCTTGCTGGGAGGCTGATGAGCCCAGGAGTCCCCAGGTCCCAGCAGCCAGAGTCCCTGAGCTGTCAGGGAGAGCAGTGGCAGGCACACACATGGCCAGCACCAGGAAGGCTCTGCACCACAGACTGCTGACAGTGGTGGCCACACAGACAGCAGGACATGGGGCTGTTCCCACAGCCCCTTCCCTCTCACCACAGAGCATCACTTTTGGCTGCAGGGCAGCAGTGCCCAGAGGGTTTGGTGGTCCAACCCCTTGGCTCATCTTGGGAGCGGCCATGTGGAGAGGTACAGCAGATTGAGGCTGGGTCCCTCCAGCTCCCACCACAGCCCATCCCAGTGACTGATCCATTCCCAGAGCAACCCACACACCAGAGCCAGGGCACCTTATTAAAACATCTTCCTTCTCTCCAGCAGCTTCCTAGCTCAGGAAAGCCTGTGCCAAGCCCTGGCATCTCCCAGGAGGCTCCCAGGGCACAGCAAGGTTGTAACCAGCCCTGGGCTCAGACATTACCTCATTCCCTGTCCCAAACACCCACCTGGCTGCAAACAGCCTCCCCCAAGGACAGCCAAACTCACCAACCTACACACACCTGACAGCACCCAAGCCCTGGCTTTTATCTGATTTCCCAGGGGGATGTGCCTCCATTCCAGCTGCTCCCAATTAACACACAAACTCATGTGCACTCCCCTAGGTGAAGCTAGAAGGGTCTCAGCTTCCTTCTGCTCCTCACTAAGTCCCTGGCAGAGGAAGGAGGGTGTGTGCCTGCTCCTTTAGGCAGGATCATCCCGAAACCCTGATGATGCTCCCCAAAACACCCTGTTTGGGGGGAGTGGGTTGTGGTAGTGCTGTTCCCCTGCTGAGCTCCAGTCATTTGGGCTGAAAAACGTGGTTGGGGCACCTGGCTTTTGGGATCAGGTAGATTCCATGCCTGAGGGAGGCTCACAAGGGGTGAGGTGTCTTGGGGGTCCCCACTGGATCAGCCCAGGGTGCATCCCTGAGCACCTCATACTTTCCTGCCCAGTTTCTGGTGCTCAGACACTTCCACCAGCATCCTCTCCCCATGCTGTCACCCTGGTTCTGGATGTCCCACTCCCCTGGGTGATCTGTGATGGCACACTGGACACTGAATCCAGCCCCCTGATGATGGGACAGAGGGACTGGGCACATCACTCGTGGCTTGATGCAGGGAGAAGCAGGCAAGAGCATTGGGGTGGGGATTTGGGGACCCTCCATCCCCAGAAAGACCCTGTTGTGCCCACACTGGGAAGCAGAGACGGAATCACGGTGTGTCTGGAAATGAGCCAAACTCTTTTAACCAGGTGAAGAACCTCTTAGAATTAACATTCTTACAAAAAAATTAAATAAGGGGAAGGAACTTTCTTCCCCAGAATAACAAGGTATAAAAATGACAACGTTATTAACAAATGCTGCTTTCCCAATCACTATGCACAGCCACGGCGTGGCAAGGGAGAGTGAGGAGAACAGCAGCATCCCCCTTTCCCTGTCCCATCCACAGCAAGCCCATCCCAATGGAAAACCACAAAGGCACACACAGAAATCCCCCAACAGCAAACACACCTTTTGGCTAAGTACAGTTTGGGTAGGTTTTTTTCTTAGTTCAAAATAAATATTCCCTGTAGTGAAATAAAAAAATCCTAAGAACCCTTGTTTTGTTTCTCCATGCCCTGCAGTAGCTGGAGAAACACCTGAGCGATGAGTTGGTAAGGCCTCTGCTGTGCACCCTGCTGCAGCACCCCAGGAGGAGGGGATGTTTGTATGTTCTGGGATGCCCATCAACCCTCTGGGATGGAAAGGATCCCTGCTTCCAAGGCCTGGCAGCAGGGCTCCCCTCTCTGCTCCTGTGATCACCACATCTCCATTAAAGTGATCACTAAATGTGCATCCCCCGTGTTCTCCACTGGAAGAGCATCTGGGATGTAAAGTTAGTTTGGTTTTTCTTTAGGAGTCTTTAAATCTTTCTTGTAGCCTTTTAGCTGAAATAAAAAGACAAGTATAAATTACTGTATTTAAAGAAAAAAACCACCCAAAACACATGACCTGAAGGCAGCAGCTCCTTATAAAGGTAAATCCAGAACATTTGTAAAATGTCTTCATTTAAAACAAAAAAAATTAGTCCCAGGACTACAGAAGTCACAATTCCCTTGTGCTGATGCTGTGTAAGGTCTCTGTAGCACTTTAAAGATGAAAAACCAGAAGGAAGGTACATTTCTTGGGCATGGCATGGATAAAGCAGGAGAGGGGATTTAGAGGAGGTAGGTGGGATGTCGTCCTTGCAGTAGCCAGCCTTTTTCCAAGGCTGGGGATGGTGCTAGGACCATTTCCATGCTCCTCTTGCTCCAGATCCACTGGAACTCCAGCCAGATCCATTGGAACTCCAGCCAATTCCTCCCAGCTCACCAAGTCAGTCATGGATGGAGGTGGGAGATGCACTAAGAGATGATGTGTTCAAAGAAAAGTAGCTCCAGCTGCCACAAGGGGTTCGAGCCCTTCCCCGTGGGTCCAGACACCACGCCAGCATCCCTGCATCACTAAGCTGTTCTCCATCCTGAGAACTGTCCTTGGAAGGTCCCCTGATGCTGGTGGGAACTGAGCATCTCCCTGTAGAGCTGCTGGTGATCTTAATATCCACGGCTCTGGGAGCGAGGGACCTTCCTGTTCCCATTCTCATTTAGCTGTTGTTCCTTAGTGCCTCCTTTTCTCTCATCTATCCATGGCTGTTGCTTTGCCATCAGCTTTCAGCGTCTGAGCCAGGGCTACCTGGGAGAGGAAGGAGTGGTTAGGGAGGGCAGGATCTTCACCTCCACATCCCAAACATTCCCCGCTCCAGCCTGACCCAGGGAGCGGAGCCTCCTCAGCCAGCTCAAATCCACAAAAATATACCTCCACCTCCACAAAATGACATATAAATCCCATAAATTCCTATAAAGCCACATGGAAGAGGAGTTACCTACTTGGAAGGATGCTGGCTAGCTTGCGACCTCAAACCTGCAAGAAATAAAGTTGTTGGTAATGGCCTTGAGCAGTAGCAAAAGGGTATCTGGGTAGAGCAGAGAAGCCACCAGTTTGATGGGACAACCATAGGTGTCAGGCCTGGCACACTGCCCTTGGCCTGGAGGTGACTGACACCTCCTCGATATCCCCAGGATGACTCTTCTCCCTCCCAGCTCAAGCTTTTACCCTCCACAACCTAAAGGGAAAAGGTGGGCAGAACACATGGCAGGACAGGGATGCTGAGGCACCGGGTGAGTGACAGATGCTCCCAAAAAACAGCAGCATCTGAAAGGCAGGTGCAGCTGGAGCATCCCTGGGATTCGCAGGAGATGCCGGGCTACCTACCGAGCTGCTGCCGGATGGCATTGTGCCAGTGGAGGTTGAGCAGGTCTGGGTAGATCTCAGGGAGCTGCTTGAGCGCCAGGAGCTTCAGCATGCGGGAGGTGCAGCTCTTCAGCTCCAGGTCCCTCAGGTGCCTCTCCTCTGAGAGCGTGGTGGGACGCAGCTCCACCTTGTGCTTCTGCAGCACTAGGTCAACGGAGGTCCCAGGGAGCTTCGGGAAGAGTTTCTCCTTCACCACGTGGATGGGGATGAAGATGGCTCCTGCCCGGACAACGTGGGGGAAAGGGCAAGCGAACATGAAGGTCTCCAGCTGGGAGAGCAGGTTGGCGAGGAGCGTGGCCACGTCCTGGAAAGCCAGCCAGATCTCCTTGCCTTTCATGGGCTTCTGAGGAGTGGGAACCTTGGAGTTGTTCTTGGACTTGGGCATCTCTCCCAGCTCTTCTGCCAGCTCTGCCTTCTTCAGCCACTGCTGCAGGAGCTCTGGGGATGACCGTGACACTGACCCCGAAATGGTGTCACAGAGCCAGGTGTGCAGGGTGGCAAAGTACTGCCCGGAGGGGGTGTCCGGGGGGGGACTGACAAACTTCCTGGCCAGTGAGATCCCCTCCTCCCCCGGGGTGAAGGGGGCTTCAGGAAGTGGAGGCTGGGGAGGGTTTGGGCCTGAGATGGTGCTGGGCTGGGGGCCAGGTGGTGGGACCGGGGGGCTGGTGGATGGTGACGAGGCTGGTGGGTTCGGTGTGGGGGTGCTGCTGGGTGGGCTGGGCTGGGGGGCACGGGGGCTGCCGTCCTGCTGGGGGGGCTCTGTGCTGGGCGTGAGGGAGTGCAGGAGCTTGTATTTTTTGAACATGAAGGTGGCTGAGCTCTGGAAGTTGCTCCTGTCCCCAGAGCCCACCTCAAGCAGCTGGGGCTGGGCCCCCTCTCCCATTCCCACCTTGCCCCCGGTAGCCTCTTTCTCCTCCCCCTCCTCCACATCCTCCTGGTCCAGCGTCCCCTCCACACAGCCAGTGAGTCCCTGGGTATCCATGGCTTCCACCGGTCTCTTCTTCAAGCTGAGGTCCAGCACCATATCCTCACTGAGCAGCTCCCCAGTGCCCACCCCATCGGGGCTGCCCTCCTGAGACCCCAGCTCCTGGGACACAGGTTTTGGCTTTTTGGGGGCCCTCTTGTGACGTCTTTCCCCTTGGCTCTGCACCACACTGGTGTCTGATCTCAGGCTGGACACCACCAAGGTATCTCTGAGGGAAGCAGGCTCCTGGCTGGGGCTGATGTTTTGAGGTGGGGAGTCCCCCCACAGATGGTCCCCGCCGAAGAGGACATGGGCTGAGCCCTTGGCCCTCTCCAGGTAGTCCTGGTAAGGTGCCAGGCTGAAGACATTGTGGATCACTGGCATTGGTGGAGAGGAAGAAAAGACTTTGGTGTCCCTCGGGTCTTCCAGCCCCTTTGTGGGGGTCATGGATGAAGAAGGGGGGCCAAGCTCCTTGGTCGGATCCTTGACCTTGCAGTCATTTCCTTTCCCTGTGATGACAGGAGCCCCTGTTCCCCCACATGGGGTGTCCTGTGGGGCTGGGCTGGTGTTCCTCCTCCCCAGGTATGGGGGCTCCTGCTCCCCTTGCCTGGGTTTCTCCCAGCTCCCTTCTCTTTTGGGAAATGTCTCCGTGAGCCCACTGGGGCCCCTGGAGAGCTTCTCTGGGGTGCAGACAGGTTGGAAAGCGCTGCTGTGCCTTGATGCCGCTCGCCACCGCGGACCTTCCGCCTCGTGCTGCTCACATCCTGGCTCCGGGGTGGCAAAGGAGGTGTGGAACACGGATTCATCGCCAGAGTTGAAGGTAAAACCAGGGTACCCCGGCAGCTCAGCATCCCTTGGCAGCTCAGCATCCCTCAGCACCACCACCGGCTTGGAGGGACCAGCACCCGCTGTCCTCGGCACGTAGGGGTCCAAGGGGCTGGGAAAGTAGCTCCCTGGGGCTTGGGGTTTGAGGTAAGAGCCAGGAAAGGGCTTCCTGCTTTCCACAAAGCTGGAGCCGGGCAAGGCACTGGCCTCCCCCGCAGTGGGAGCCGGAGGGTGATAGAGGGGAGCAGCTCTGTGAGGAGACAGTGGGTAGGGGGGGGGGTGGGTAGCACATTGCTGGCCTCTCCGGGTTTGTCAGGCCAGCATCAGGCAGCTGGAGCTTGGGACAGGAGTCCGGGATGAGGCTGGGGACCTCCGGCACCTTATTCTGGCTGTGGGCAGCGGGACAGCTTGCTTCCAAGACCGGGGTGCTTGGGGGGGGCCTGTATTTATCAAAGGTGACATAGTAGTGGGGTAAGGCAACGGGGGAGCCCAACTGCTCCTTGGCGGGCAGCACCAGGCTGGAGGGCAGCGGTGGGATGCTGGGGTCAGAGCAGGGACCCCTCCTGTGGGGCTCGCCGAGGTGGAGAGGGTGGGTGGCAGGGGGCAGAGCCCAGTTTGCCTCCCTTGGTGTCTGCTGCAGGCTCTCCACTCGTGTTCCCAGCGGCAGAGCCATCCTGGGGGCCAGGAAGCAGGCAGGGGCTCCATACACGGGCTTAGGGACCAGTGGAGCCGCCTTGTTCACTGCCACCGGCTTCTTCACCGGTAAGGGGCACCTTGGGCTGTCCAACTTCTTCCTAGCCATCAGCTGCTCCTGCACCAGGCTGTCCTTGCCCTTCTGGGTGCCCAGGCTCTCGGATGGGTACAGCACAAAGCCCACCAGAGGCCCCTCGGCAGGCGCTGGCTGGCTCATGGCACCAGGGCCGTAGTGTAGGTAGGTGGGCGCTGGGCTCCAGCGGGCCAGGGGCAGCTCAGGACCCTTGGAGCTCTGCAGTGGGCAGGTGAAGTAGGAGCCCCTGTAGTTGAAATGGTTTTCAGAACCAGGGTTGGGCACAGGGCTGGATTTGCTCTGGATTTTGCTGGACGGAAAGCTGGTGGTGGCCTGTGACTCCAGCCGAGGTCGCTTGTTGAAAATCACGGGGTCCACAGAGTCCAAGCACCGTTTTGAGGCCATTTATACCTTGCTGCAGGTGTCCCGACAGGAGAGGTGAGCTGGCCTTCCTGAACAAGAGAGAGAATAAACCATGAGCAAATCAAGTCCCCACAGCCAGCACCCTGTGGTGGCACAGGATGACAGAGTCCTTCAGGAGCCCTCCAAAAGTCACCTTGCCTCCGTGCTGGCTGGAGGAAGAATGTTGGTTTTCACACGCACCCCATTTGTGATACTCAGGATCACACTGGAAAGCTAAAGCAGAGGAGGGGAGGTGTGGAAAACCCTGCTTGTCTCACAGCCAGCCTCTGCCAAGGGCAACAGGTATTGCTTCCCTTCTCCCATCCTCCCAGCACCTGGCAGAGATCCTAAAAAATCCAACCCAACCCCAACTGAGATGCAGCATTTGATCATCAGGGTAGAAGTGCGGGATCTGGTCAGGCAGCCCTGTGTAAGCCAGGGTGGGAGCCCACAGCCAGTGGGGGGAATCCTGGGAGGCTGGCTGGGCATTTCTCCATCTGTCTCCTTGGAAAAGCCCTGGAAAGCTCCAACTGCTTTGGTTCCAAAGCCTCAATGAGTATCTGTTGCAGGCAGTGGGGAGCAAAGCTGGGTCAGCTCAGGTGAAGAGCCAGCAGACACAAACATAGAGTGCCCAAAATTCTCACCCCCAGTTTCACCTTTTAAAGTAATTTGAGGTTTCTTCCCCAAGGCAGCAGTTCATCCTCTCCCTTATGATGTCTTCTGATTTGGGGCTGCTGTGTGGTGGGTCTGGTCCACAGTGACAGGTGGTGAATGCCAGCAGGTGGAGCTGGCAGGCTGTCCCACCATAGTCCTGCATCCTGGAGCATTCCAAGTATTCTCCCAGTATCTCCTGGCATCACCCAGCATCTCCCCAGCACTGCCCAGCATCTCCTAAGCATCCCACCGAGACACACGAGCATCACTAGAGTGCCAAGGGCATCACAGGACCTTTACCCAGTACCCCCCAGCATCACCTGAACATCCTGTAATCACCCGAGCAAGCCCCAAGACCCACCTGAGCATCACTGGCACAGCACCCTCCCAACATGGGCAAACATCCCCTCGTATTTCCCAGCATCCCCAAGCCCAGGGACGGACTCGCTGCAGCAGGATCTCCTCCATGTTATTTTTTTCCTTTTGTGACGAGAGTTAGCGGAGAAGCCAACGAGGAAATGGAGGAAAAGCACGTGGAGATAAGACAAAAGCCACATCCACAGCAGGGGAAATGGAGCAGATAACGAGAAGACTTGTGGGGGGAGATAAGGGACCCAGTGGCAGTGGTGCCACAGCTCTGCCTGGAAGGGAGCAGGGGATGATCTGCCTCTCCCCGGCCCCAGCTCACCCCAAAACAGCACAACTGAGGCTGCACTCTCTGCTTATCCCTTCCGCTGGGTTTCTTATCCAAACTTCAACAATTTCTTACTTTCCAGTGAGGATGCTGCTTCCCTGGAATCCTTTGAAAACCCCCATCAGAGTGTTACAGAGCAATTTAAATTTAGTAGTAGAATGGCTAAGGCTTAGTAAGAGAGTAGGCCTAGAAAGCAACACTCCAAAGTAGTAAGTTAGCAACTTTGTTTGTGAGCATGGAATGTACTGAAGAAGTGGAAACAATAATCAAAGGATTTAGTCAAGCATGTATATAATGATTTGTTACCTTGGATGTGGTAAGGGTCTGTTAAACAGTTTCTAGGGGTAAGACAACCAAGGAAAATTAACAGTTAGAGTAGATGATTACCAATTGTTATCAGTATGAAATATGAGTTTGTGTGTAACTAGGTGTAACTGCTTTCCTGTAGAAATTGCACGTAGACATGTTTGTGCGAGAGTATAAAAGCTGTACGAAAAATGAGGGTCTTGGGAATCCTGACTTGGGACGCTAGTCCTCAGGTTCCCGGCCCCGAATAAAGCACCGCATAAACCGGCACTCAGTTGGTTTGTGTCTTTGTTACAGGCAACAAGAGGGTCAGTGCTTCCTTTCCCACTTGCACCCTCAGAAGCAGCTCCCCCGCATCGCTTCCAACAGCTTTATCCTCCTGATAAATCCTCAGGGTCATTTCCAAGATATCCAGTACCAATTAAATTTGCCAGCGCTTAGATCCAGGGAAAAGAGTTCCCTTCAATTGAAAAAAGCTTGGGGAAAATTCCAAGCTGGGTTATTTTCCTTCCAAGAAGGATCTCTCAGGAGGCTGTTGTTTAAAGCCATCTCCCTAGGAGATGCTGCGTGGGAGAGAGATGCAGGCATGGGATTCCTTCCCAGCTGTGACAATGCTGAGGTTGGACAAGCCAGGACAGAAACCCAGGATCTTGTGACTCCTGACGTTTCCCCACTGTTTTTTCCCCTTTCCCCCAAACCCCAGGGATCTACAACCCCCACCCCCTGTGCGTGGGGACATTGTGACACCAGCCCTGCCTTCACCCAGCTGATGCCACCGGGCATTATGCAATCGCCCTGTTTCACCCAGATCCGACTTCCAGCCTTGCCGGAGGGATGCCCCGTGGCCGGAGCCAGGCACTTGGATTCTCTGATGTCTCACAGGGTTAAGCTCATTAACCTCATTAGGGTGAGGACACCCCTGGGCTCACTCTTTCCATGAAATCCACTGGGGCTTCGCTGAGGGGGTGCCATCCCTACATCTGCACCATCCCAAGGAAACAGCTCTAGTTTTGCTCTCACCATCAGCTTTTTCCCTCTGGGACTATCCCTTTCAGCCGGTGGAGGTGGAGGAGGAGAGGGGTAAGTGGGAATCAGGGCGGGGGGGATGCCTGAGTGAACCCAACAAATGCAGTCAGCAATTCTGAAACCCCACAGCTGGGAAAAGCAGGAGGTGGATTAAACACAACCCGTTATTCATCTTTTTTAAAATGTTTTTTGATTTTTTTCTCCCCCTTCCTCTTCTCGTTTTTTTTTCCCCAGAACAGACCGTTTGGTCAGGAGGGAGTAAAAGTAAAACCAAATGCAGAAGAACACGTGCTGCCCGAGCAGCAAAACCTCCCTGATAAGCTCCCACGGGCCTCAGAAAACTTTATCTGCCACGTTTCGAGTGTCCAACGGGCACAGGAGGGCTTCTGTTCCCCCTCCCCGAGGCTCCTCGGCCTGCCAAGGCTGTCGGGAACACTGCAGACACCTCTTTTCTTCTCCGACAGCTCCCGACAATGCGTCCGTGTCTGTTATCAGCGGGGCAGTCAGGCGCAGCACACGGCTCCCCGGAATTTCCTGCCCAGGATGCGATGTCCTAAGCGGGAGCCTCTCACCGCAGCCTCCCGCCTCCTCCATCGCCACGTGATGCCAAGAAAAAGCCGCCAGCTCCCAGCCAGCCCGCAGGAGTCGAGAAACAGAACCCCAAAAGCTCCTAAACCCGCCGGCACGAAGCATCCCCGGCCCCACCGAGCCGCCCCCGAGGTGCCGCGGCGGAGGGTCGTGGCGGGGGTAGAGTTTCCCGGGGTCCCCCTCGACCAGCGGGACTTCTCCACCGGCAACGGGGCGCATTCCCGGCCGGCGGCAATCCCGGTTTCACAATCGCGGGGACTCTGGGACCCTGCCGAGGAGGTTACTTTTTCCCGTCTCTCCACCTTTCCCATCTCTCCTGCGGGTTTGGATGAGATCACTGACAACACTCCCCCCGCTTTGATCATTCGGGGAAACAAACAAGAGGCCTCAGCGGTCCCGGCTGCCTCATTCCATACCTTGCCCCTCTCCCACAAAGTTTGCAGCTCCGGAGCTTCTCCCAAGTGGGCAAATGCCGAGTCAGAGCCTTCCCTTGGACCAAGCCAGCTGTTTTTTAAGGCAGTATCCTTACGGAATGCATGCACCAAGCCATGGCTTGTCTGCGAATTAAGTTGAAAATCCCCAGGAATATTCACTTTTATATTTAAAAAAACCAAACTTCACGGAGCATTGAGTAGCCACCAGAAGGGCTCAGTTCCTTACTACTTAGGGGATTAAAACACCTCCAAAACGCACCGATCCCGTTCCGAACCATCGATGTCACGTCCCAGGTTGGCCGCGGTCAAGGCTGGGGTGCCCCGGTGCTCGCAGACCCCTGCCAGGACACGAGGTACGGATGTGGCGGGGGGGCAGAGGTGGCCGCGTACGTCCTTCTGTCCCCTCCACACACCCACGGCCACCGCTTTCGTGTGAGCGACGCTCCGGTGACCCCCAAAATAAGCCTCTCGCAGGAAGCTAGGCGCACTCACGCTGCGCATCAGCCGCATGATCCAAAGTGTCCATAAATGGGTAAAATCCCGGGATCCGGAGCCTGCAACCCGCTTTTCCCTGCACGGCTCAACGAGAAGCACACGATCCCGAAGAAGGCGTGCGGGGAAGCGAAGGGGCCCCCCCACCCTGTCCGAGGGCTTCACCCGCCGAGGGAGCGCCAAAGCGAGCGGGGAGCTGGCTGGGGGTCCCCCCGCCCCCCCACATCCCTCCGCTCTATCCTGGCTCCTGCGGGACGCGCATCCCTCCGGCCCCTCACTCACCTGCGGCTGCGGCGCGGTGCCTCCCCCGGAGCATCGCTGCGGGGCCGGGAGGGGGGCTCGGCGGGCACGGAGGGGAGCGCTCGGCCGGCAGCCCGCGCTGTGCGGAGGAAGTGGGAGGAGGAGGAGGAGGGCTGGGTGTGCGTGTGGGCCGGCCGGAGGAGGGAAGGGGACGGGACGGGACGGGAGGGCACAGCGCAGCCACACGTGCGGTGAGCCCGTGCGCTCGGAGCGGGGACCCCCCGGACAGGCACATTCCCCCCCCGCCCACGCTGCGGGGGACACCCGCAGCGGGGAGCCCCTGTACGGCGGAGTCCCCGTTTCAGCAAGCCCCCCTGGTGTGGAGGAGGAGGAGCCGCACGGGGAGCCCACGCTGGGGGGGAGCCTCATTAAGGGGAGCTCTCATTGTATGGAGCCGCAATTAAGGGGATGCTCACTGCAGTTAGTCCATTAAGGGGACCACCCATTAGGGAAGACAGCCATTTAAGCCCCCCCGTCCCCTTACAGCCAGTCCCCATTATGGAAGGACCCCCCATTGCAGGCAGTCTCCATTAGAGAGGACCCCCACTAAGAGGGGACCCCCCTCACTGCAGGTGTGGAAAATTACGCAAAAGTAACACTTAGTGGAACGTTGAGAGCTCGGGAACAAGACGATGCGGCCCAATCCAGTTCAGTGGTTCTATGGCCACCTTGGTAACAAGGTGTTCAAAAACATATTGCCCAATTTACATAACCAGGCTGAACAACTTCAAATGTAAGACTTTGCTGCTGAATCCGTATTCCCGGGTTAATAAATATGAGCCAGGTATGCATATCCCCGTAAGCATCCCGGGCCATAGTCTGGCATCGTAATAAAATAATGCCTGCTTCTTAATACTACATTGATGTTAAGGAGTTTTATTCCCGAATTTCAGTGATGCAGGCGTCTCCATTAGGAAGTGACCCCATTCGGGGGGGATCCCCTGTTAAAGAGGAGCCCCCATTACAGGGAGACCCCTCCTCACAGAGTTATGGGCACCCTCTCAGCACAGGGATGCTCCCCAAGCCTGAGACCACCAAGACACGGCCAGGGGTCCGGGTCTGGCCAGACACAAGTCCCTCTGTCCACACAAAATCACTTTACCATCTCGTAAGCAGGGACAGAGGGAAGCTGGCAGTCTGGGGTGGGCTGGGGATGGAGCTTCTGAGCTTCGCAGTCAACGCCCACCCCAAAGAAAAGCCCCTCCTCCTGGATTTAACCCCTGCCAGCCCCAAGTCCACCCGCTGGCGTTAACACATGGTGTTTACCTAAGGAGTCGCGTCTGGAAAAGTCCACCTGCCACCCAAATTCGGGAATGAAAACTCCTTAACGCCAACGTAAGCATTAAGAAGCAGGCATTACTTTAACCGGGCACCTGATTCACGTGGGGTAACTCTGACTGATGCGCACGCCTGGCTCAGGAGGATACCTGCCTTTGTTAGCGGGAGATACACATATTCATTGAGAAGTGTTACACTTTGTTACTTAAGGCGGCCAGAGAGCCCCTAAATTTGATTGGCAGACTTGACTTATTGCCACGGTGGCCACGGAGCCCCTAAAATGGGTTGGGCTGCACTGAGTTGTTATCAAGGCGGCCGCAGAATCCCCGAACTGGATTGGGCCTTGACTTGTTGCAGAGCTCTCTGAACGTTCCACATGACGTTCCATTAACTGTCACTTCTGTGTAATTTGCAACACACGCAAACATTCCCCGACTAATCATTAACCCCCATAAAAAGCACGTAAATATGATTAACCCAGTGACACACATGCTGGGAGATTGGGTTGCCCAAGACCCTGGAGTGAAGCGGTGGAAGAGGCTCAGCTCCCATTAGCAGTGAGAAATAAAGATTTCTAAGTGAAAAATAATTCCACTTTTTTAATACTTTATTGAACAAAGGCCGAGAAGGCAGGGTTTGAATTCTCCTCTCCTTGGCCTCACAAGCATTACTTTCCCATTACAGCTTTAATTTACAGCAGTTATGT